GGGAGAGGGCCTGTGGTGTTTTTCAGGCCAGCCACACCCCCCAGTGACCCAAGCAGAGGCCCTGGGATCTGGGATTTATTTATCTTCTATAATTGAAACTTTGTAGCCTTGAGCTGAGCCAAGCCTCCTGATGGCTCCATGGCCACAGCCATTTTTGTTGGGATTTATTTATCTTCTATAATTGAAATTTTGTATCAGAGGCCAAGGCAGGCCAGGGCTGCAGGAGCTTGGCTTCCTCCATCGCCGGAGGCAACCCAGACCTCCTGCTCTCTCCAGCTCTGTGGCTGCTGCCATATTTTGATGCGATTTATTTGTCTTCTATAATTGAAACTTAGTAGCCTTAAGCAGAGGCCAAGGCAGGCCAGGGCAGGCGGAAAGCTTGGCTTCCTTCATTGCCGGGAAACGCCAGCCTCCTGCTCACTCTGTGGCCACAACCTTCTTGGTTGAGTTAATTTACATACTTGCTCCTGATTGGCCGGTGGGCAAGGCTTGTGGGTGTAGTAGATGTACAGTCAATTTGCATATTACTCTTTTTTAGATATGATGTGCTGATAGATGTTTTAAAGCATTTTTTAGCAAGCAAATTTATTCATAGGTATAAAGAAAATGTATGTTCTATCTCAGTCTTTTATTGTTAAAGCAAATTCTTTTGGATTTCTGTCTCTTTTAGGTTAATGCTCAATATTTATGACTTTATTTCTCAGCCCCTGTTTTTCCCTAAAATAATTTTGTGTTTGTAAGTGTGTAAGGGGTGTGGGGAGAGAGAAATGTGGAAATTATGTTTAAATAGATATACTGTAGTCCACAGTCATTGTCAGAATTACACAAGTTGAATAAAATTTTCTATTTTATATGGTCTACCATAATAACCCTACCTTTTTGGTAGAAGTAACTTTAGTTTATCTGCTCCGCAAACCAGTATTAGGAGTATCTTCTTTATCATTCCTTTCTAATTATTAAGAATGTTTTTAAGTATTTTATTGTTTGTTATTTTCCATTTGCATTGCTTTAGGATCAAATATGCCTGTCTGTGCTCTTTCCACTTAGAATTATTGAGGGTCTTGGAAGAAATATGTAGTCTGCTCTTATGCCCTGGAGAAAATAGAAATTGAATTATATGTCACAAGTATGATTTTTAGAGAAGAACATGTCTTCCAAATTTGGCCTATTTATTGTTTTAGATCCTCCAGAGTTGGTATTCATGTATTTCACACCTGCCCACTCTATCATTTGTGAGTGGTGCATTCCAGTATACATTACTCCCTGCCCACGTGTTCAATAGGCAACTAGAACTGGTGTGTCCTACATATGGTGGTATGATGTAGTCGTTCTGTGAGCAGCAGCCATAGGAGAAGCAGAGGGGTATCAGATGAGTTGGTCAGAACAATGGGGATTTAAGTCATGATTGTTGCACAGGCGCTGAGGTTAGGGTTAGAGATGGGGAGTGCAGAGGTAACCTGGAGATAACAGCCGGTGGCAGCATCTAGACTTCCATGCTGTCTGGGAGGGCTTCCCAGGGAGGCCACCTTCCCAACTGTCATCGGTGCCTCTGACGCTCTGAGAAGAGACCTTTCGGAAGACATAAGATGAGTTATAGAGCACCATGAGAAGGTGGACAGGAGCCGGTGACTGTAGTGAGAAGTCACTGCTGTGACAATGGTGACAGGAATAAAAATGAGGAAGGAAGGCCCTTCCCTCATCTCCAGAATTCAAGCCACTCTTCAAAGGAGTCTGGGAAATAAATGCAGGGTCCTGGTCCCCATGTCATCAAGGAGCATAGTGTAGAAGAAGGACAAAGTGACAAAGTGGAAGCAGTGTTTTTCTTGGTCTTAATTATTTTTGACATGCAAATGTTCTACGTGAGCAGGTTGCAAGCTCATTTGTGATTTCTTTGGCAGGTTTTAAGTAACCCATGGAAACTGTTTTGTGAGTTGGTCTGGACTAGGGAATAACTAAGTCAGATTCTCTTGGGAAGTTGGATCTGATGCTAATTGGCCCAGATGTGTGATAAGCCCTGAAAAAGGGGGGAGAAGCAAAAACAAGAAAGAAACAGTATGTAAGAATGACAGCATCAACTGTGATGCTGGAATGGCCAAGAGTGACTGTCAGATGCGGCCTGTCCCTGAGATAAGGTGAAGCATTTGGGGCATAGATGCAGGAGGAGGGCTTCAGGGGGTGGCGGGTTTCCTTGGAGAGATGTCCTTGAGGCCAGGCATTTGTCCCTTTCTGCTTCTTCTAGTGGGTCACAGCTTGGAGCAGAGTTTTCTGACATCAGCACTGGACACTTGGAGCAGATAATTGTGCCTGGAGGTCATGGGGGGATGATTTTACTGAAAATTCTTTATTCCTGCATACCATGGTCCTGCCCAGAGCTTGAACATTGTAGAGTGGTTGGTAGCATTCCTGGCCTCAACCCACAGATGCCAATGGCATCCTTCTGATTGTCACAACCAAAAGTGGCTCCAGACATTACCAATTAGGTGCTGGAGCCAAAACACCTCCAGTTGAGAACTGTAGTTTTCAGAATCTAAATCCTCCTGCAGAGTTCCTTGTTTGTTTCTAGTTTTTGGACAATTTTTAGAGCTTAAGCTTGGCTCTAGGGCCATTGGGTTGCAGTTGACTTTGAATGAACCTGGGGAAATTTTGGGTTATATACATGGATAAGGAGCCAAGCCAGACCAGATGCTTCCTGTCTCAGAAATAGTCCCTGTTGATTTACATTTGGGACTGAGAGAGAGAACGATGTAGGTTTTCTGCATGACTGGAACTTCTCCAGGCCACAGAGGTACAGGGAAGTTATGGGGGTGGAAGCTAGGGTTACTCATGTTCTGGCTGAAGGGATATAGAAAATTATCTTTTTTTTTTAGTTTTTTCTTTTTTCTAGTTTTTCAAATACAGTTGACATACAATATTATATTAGTTTAGATGCACAGCAGGATTATTAGGCATTTATATAATGTTACAAGTGACACTCCCCCCCCACCCCGTGAGTCTGGCATCATCCATAATTATACAGTACTATGGACTATACTAGGGGCCCAGTGCATGAATTTTTTCACCTTGAAAGGAACTGTGGGCCCTGAGGTTTTGGTGGGAACTGGGAGAGTCTCAACCCATCCTTGGTGCCCCCACCTGATCCCTCCCACCGGCAGCCCCACTCCCACCACTGCCACTCCCACACACTGATGGTGCTGGCCCCACTTGCACCTGCTCACAGTGCAGAGTGATTGAGACTGGCACCAGCAGTGAGTGCCAGCAGTGGCTGCTGCCCTGATTGCCCCTCAGCACCAAGTGATCAAGGCCAGCACTGGAAGCAGGTGTGAGTGCTGGGCAGGACCATGGCACACAGGAGCAAAGAATTTTCAGTAACCACCAAGAAGCTAGCCCCAATGAAAGTGACCAGCGCACCGCCTTGGTCTGGTACCCCTGCTCACCTGCTCTGCCATCCCACCACAGTCGACACCCACTATGTTCCACACTCTGCTGCCGATACCTACCTTGTTCCGCAGGCACCCCCCAATGGTCAGTGCATGTCGTAGCAACTGATTGTTTAGTTGTTATGTCATTCAATCTATTTGCATATTTGTGTTTTATATAGAGAGATTCCCCAAGCCGTACTTTACATTATACTAGGTGAACTAAGTCAGACCCAGAAAGACAAATACTATGTGATCATACATGCAGGATCTAAAACAGTGGCACCCATGGTAAGAGAGAGGAAAGCAGGGGATGGATGAGGGTGGGGGTGGTAGGAATTAGAGAGATGGTGGTCAAAAGGCACAAACTCTCAGTTAAAAGATGGCTAAGAAAAAAATATTCATTGATTTTATCTTCTTCCCAGGACCAAGGGAGGCTCTGTGACTTTTCACCCAAAAGAAAACTCTAACAATGATGGTTTCTCTACACAAAGTAACTAAAACCACCTCTAAGTAGAACAAATGGGTGGCTGATGTGTGGGGGAAACCTTCACTTGCTATTGTTGGTAAAATAGTGTCACACCTCCTCTGGCAAAGAAGGACAAATTCTCATCCCTGGAACTATGACTATGTCACTTGACACAGCCAAGGAGTTGAAGGTAGAGTTAAAATTGCCAATCACGTTACCTTAAAGCAGGTACAGCTTACCCAGATGGGCTGATGGCATCACAGGAGTCCCAAAGGGGAGCAGAGGTGGGGGTGTTAGGAGGTGAGAAGGAGGGATGCCCATCACTGGCTGCTGATGAAAAGCAGCAACTCCCCATTAATGTCAAGAATGTGGAGGAAGGAGTCTCCAGAAAGGGATACAGCCCTGACCACTTAGCCTTAATTTAGCCCTGAGCTATAGGTCAGACTTCTGTCCTACAGAACGCCTTATTGTGCCTCAAGTCTCTGGGTCTGTGGTCATTTTCAGGGTGTGTAGAGGAAGCTGAGGCCCTGATTCCCAGGGGGAGGGAAGCTTAGTGACGAAGCCTGGTGGAAGGTGGACCCAAGGAATCTAGTCTCAGCCAGGAGCACATGGAGAGGCCCTGAGTGCTCACTGCCTCTGGGAAGCATAAGGACAGGGTGCTTTCTCAGCTATGATTCTGTCCCTGTTGCAGGATTCTGATGATGGATCACTGAGTGTCTGACTGCAGAGTACCTGTGGGCTGCCCTTCATCAGGGACAGAGCCCCATGGAACAAGGTTGAGCATCTTCCCAAGGCAAAAGCAGCCACCCTGGTGAAAGCTGAAGGTTCCGGGGCTGGGCAGAAAGGGTGGGGCGAATAAAAGTGTCCCCATGAAGCCTGGAGCTCAACCAGATGCTCATGAAGACCTGAAGACCAGACAGAAAGATGCAACCTGACAGCAATGCAGCAAAATAGAGCACATGGGTATGCACAGTGGCTTTGTGTTTGCAGGTGCTTCTTTATTATTTATTGAGGACTCAACGAGAATCCCTGTGAAAGACAAGTCAGAGCATGGAAGATGGAGATGGATAACCAGAGAATGAAACAGCCAAACAAGCAAGACCCTCTGAAAGGCCTCAGTACAAAGGGGGTATCGTTGGGTCAATCTGTGGTTGCTTCCCCAAGGGCAGGCAGCACATCTTGCCGTTTAGACATCTCCCAGCATGGATTTCTGTTTCGAGGCAGAATTCTTGGCAGACGCCATTTGGACGCTCACAGATCTCCTTGAATTTGCCCCTGGCTGCATAGAGAAGAGGGTTATTGTCACTATTGATTTGTCTCCCTGAAGGTCTATTGAAGCACATGGATGGGGAGCATGTCTGGAAATAATACCGTGTGGATTGCTGTTGCTGTTTTTGATTCCTTAAGCCAATATTTAAAAATTCGCTTTCACACAAAGATCTGGATTCTTGGCATTTTGGGGGAATGTGGAAATGCTGGGTGTGTCTAAGTAACAACAGGCCAGGCTAGGGAACTGCGCCCCGCTGGAAGTTCTAGGCAGATGCACCAGCTTCTCCTAGCCCTTATCACTCCCAAGTAGCTCCTTATGCTGATGTGAAGGTTGGGTTTCATTTTAAATCAGCCCTGGACTGCTAATGATAGTAAGAGGTATCAAAGCCAGCATGCCTACGTCTCTTTTTTCTGGAACCAAAGGCCAATTCTTAAATAGCTTCTAATCATTATAGAGCATTTATATCCATCCAGAAAATGCCTCTAGAAACCCAGATGCAATACATTGAATTTAACTCTTCAGTGTTCACAAAGCAATCGGTTAATGGCTATGAAGACCAAATATGCAACATCTAGACGAATTCAGAAATAACTTAAGGGTATGTTGTTTTTTAAATCAACCATTGTCGTTGTTGAGCACTGTGCATAAATCACTTGGAATCAGAGTTTTTCATTCCGTGGGCTGTACAACACTTCCTTCTATCTGCAACCAGTTCAACTACTATTGATAGATGGGCCCAAATGACATTGGCTTGTTGTGGGAACCCTTAACACGACCCGCATGATCAGGGCCCACTCGGGGTCCAATTTCTGGAGGAGGCCACACACTAAAATGAAGAGAGAGACTAAAAAAAAGTTAATTTGGAACAAATGGGGGGCCAGGCAGGAGTCAACCTCTACTGGGAAGACTCTCTAGGCTCTGGCCTTGCTATCCCTTTTATTGAGGCTGCTATGGGATACACCCACTACCCTTAAGCAGCTTTGGGAAACACCCATAGCCTTAGGCAGGTAATAAGCGGATTATCATATCAGTAAGGATTCACATGATTACAAGATGGGGAAGTTGCCTCAGTTACTATTGCCTCAATTAGATAGGGTGTGGTTGGCTCTGACCTTTCAGAGCTTCAAGGTTGACCAGCCTCTTTTTATTAGTGAGACAATGATTGGTTTCTGGCAGCTTGTTGCCACTAGAAGGTCATCTGAAGTTATTATATGAGAAGATGAAACACTGGCATATCCTGTGACATGTTAGAAGTCACTCGGGGGCGTCCCCCTATTGGGGCACAACTTGCATTCTACTCTGCTGTCCTGTCTCTACCCAACCCCACTGCTGAGTGATGAACACCTTACTCTTTTCTATATGTATATCCCAGAGCCCAGCTCAAGTCTCAGCACATCATAGGCATTCAGCGAATGGCTATGCAATACTTGGTTAATGCAGAGCTATTTTCTATCCTTTAGCATGTTGGTACAGACATCTGTTGTCACTTTGATGGCACACATCTTGGAGAAAGGTGTGTGGTTTGTGACAATTGACAACTGAACATTTCCTTTTAAATCACAAAGGAGTTCTATAAAAATATGACCCACTGTTACCTGTGTAAGAAGCAAGGTCACATTTAGGGTATTTTTCTTACTTTTTTGGCCAACTACCTTATACTTGTAGATTATGGGGTAATCAGCACACTCCACACATATAGAGACACACATGGACACACATGCAGACTGTCACTGATGGAGAGAGTCAGATGGAAAACATGGACAGAGACTCAAGCACTCTTAGTACTAAACAGATGCCAGGGTTCTAACTCCCAGTTGGGTCCCCTAAGACTCAGGATCTGGGCTCTCAAATATCGCATTGTTCTTGATTTGCCTTTCTTTTAGTTGTTTTCTCATGGGTCCCATGTAGGAAACCTCTCCTCCACCATATGCCAATGCTGTGTTTGGAGCTTGTTGTCTGTTACCTGGAAATGAAGGTGGATGGTCCATGACTTTGTGAAAGTGAAGGACCATCACATCATTTTCCCCTCATATGCTGCTTCCTAGTAAGGATACACAGAGATGCTTAATTAGCAGATACTTGAGAAATGGAACAGTTTTCCCACACCCATCTCCCCATCTACTTCCTCCAGAGTAGTTCTAAAATTGAGTTGAAATTTGCCCCACAAGCTGCACCACAACCCCCTAACCTAAAGTACTATCTACCTGTACACAGTAAATATTCCTTTAAAACACAGATTTAGACAGGCAAGTTTGGATTCAGCAAGAATAGGCATGCCCCCCACCCCCACCCCCCACCCCCGACACACACACACAGTATATTTTCTGTTGAAAAATCAGGGAGGTTTCCTTTTTCAAGCAACAGAAAGCATAGCAACCAACACTTCCTTAAAATATAAGAGGATTGTTCACATTTCCACAGGTCTGACTACCTGGATACTCCTTCCTGACCCTTGAGAGCTCGAATTCTCAGGAAAAGATATATTCCACTAGATGTAGACCAAAGGGTGCTTATTTCTCTTTGGATCTACACACGCAGAAGTCTACAAATGTCCAGGAGTTGTAGGACATTTCCTGATCAATCTTGGGTGTCTGGTCATCTCCTTGAGTGAAAGCAAGGAGATGCCCACAGATGCCTCACACCTGGAATACACCTGTGCATGCTGAGTGTGGGAAGATACACTTTAGTACAGTGTTGTCTCTGATCCCTTTGTTTAACTTCTACTTCAGAAGACTAGATGTTGAAGGGGAAGAGGAAAAACCAAGGGTGGAGATGGAGAATCACTAGGCAGAGCCAAGCCCAGGGAACCAACATTATGGAGGCACAAGTTGGAGAATTCTTAGATGCCGAGTACACCTTTCAAATACTAACCCCTCCTCACTAATCCCTTTCTGGGGCCCTACAGCTCTAGTGTAACTCTCATGCCAGTATCTTAGGGTAACTCAGCATCTGCAGATCTTTTGCTGAAAGTAAGTGGAGGAATTTAGGAGGTCAAGTTTAGTAGGATAATACACCATATTTTGTTTTGTTTGTTATTTAGATCTAGAAACTGTTATTAAATTTGCCTAATTCATTTTATTTTTAGAAATGGAGCAGATAAGGTTTCAAGCACTTGAAACACCCTCAATTTCATTTCATCTGAGAGTGGCTATGGAGAACTAATGAGACATGACTGAAGGTGAGTGGCTGAGGGCTCTCAGCCAACAGGTCTCCCAAGTTTGTTATGAGACCATCCTCAGGGCACAGGTGACAGGCGTCTGCTCTAAGCACTGAATCCCCAAGAGGTCCAGGCACTTTGCCCTTACCATGGCTTCTACGGAGTTGATTTGGTTACCTGGTGGAACTTGGCTCATAGAGAAAAGAATGGTACAGAGGAAGACAGCAATCTTCATGGCTCCCGAGAGGAGAAAGCTTGGCTTCGTTACCAGGAGGCAGAGAAAACTTCCGTCTGCGGTTATCACACCAACGGAATGTCTGTGTCTGAGTAGTAAGTGCCTTTCCATATCTCATTAGGGATGTTCCTGGACAGAGAGGTCCTTATAAGGAGACCAAAAATCCTTGTTTTGTTGGACACTCAGTTCATTAGGAGGATGTGGGTGCACAGTTTTGACCAGAAATCCTTGTGAAGTGGGAACATAAGGTACAAACATTTTTGGCAACAGATTAAGGTCTATGAACAAAAAGTTCGCTATATTAAGTTACAATGAGCCAGACTATGTTGAGAAACCAGCCAGTTTAGTCAGTGACTAGATACTTTGTTAGTGAACATTTCCTGGGATTTATTAGCCCTGCAAATAATTAATGCTCCCCCACTAGTCCTGGTCTGAATGCCCAGATGCTCTGCTCCCATATAGAGCTCACTGTACCATGTTAGTTTGCTGAACATACAGTCACCTCCCCCCTAATGTGTGAGCTTCTAATTTGTCAGAACCATGCTAAGGGGACTATTGCATCCTGTGGTCATATCCTCCCAGGTCCTCTTCTTCGCTGTCAAAGTGCAGGGGAGCAAGATGATGAACATGGAGGCAATTATTCTGGATTTAAGTTCTAATTCTCTAGACTTGCTGCTAATGAGAGGTCTGGTCCTCTTCAAATCTCAGCAGCATCTGTTGAATGCAGATCAGGGGACTCTCAATCATGACTGTGCATGAAACCAACTGAGAAAGAGACTTCCAAATGCACACTTAGATCCACTCCAAGAAGATTAGTTTGGTCAGGTGGAGGAAGCCTGGAAGTCTGCATTTTTAACAAAGTTCCCAGGTAGCAATTCTGAAATTTATTCCAGAATACTCATTGGAAAATGTTAACTTAGGTCATTTTTAGGCTTCTTTCTAGCTCTGATATTAGCATATTCTAAGTTCTCTGACTGAGAATAAATGTCATGTTTGGCTCTTACTCGTATGAATAAGGAAAAGTGTGTGTGTGTGTGTGTGTGTGTGTGTGTGTGTGTGTGTGTTTTCATCATGGAAAGGGGAAGCACACACCTTAATCTATGCATAATTTGGATTCTAGTTTTATAAGGAATAGTCAGGGATCTATGGGTAAATAAGATGACAGAGAGACCAATTTGGAAGAAGGCTATTGCACTAATCAAGGTTCGGTGAGGCTCCAAACTGTACAGAGAGAAGGGAAGGAAGATGTTTGTAATACAAATTATAGGGGAGTAATGACATATGAAAAAATGACACACATGTGAATAACCCAGTCTGCTTGCCCTGAGTGAAGAAGTGTAAGGCTTTATTCAGCTGTACTAAAGGTATAGTGAAGGTCACCCACCATATGAGTAACAGCCAAATTCTGTCTCCCAGTAACAGCAAGAACCATTGCTGCTGGCCCCCTGCTGGCCAGGGGACACACAGACCAAGCCTTGAACAGACCCTGTAGAGAGATGGCACCTATCTGTCCTGACAGGAAGGGCCTGGCAGATCCCCCAGGCGGAAGAAGGCAGTTACACGGTGAGTGCTAAGGTAGTTCTGGGGCTGAGTTCCCTGAAGCAGTGCTGCTGTGTGTGACATATATGGCTCTGGAGCGCCTGCCTTCCTCACAGGGTAGTCTGCCAACCAGGCAGCTGGAAGAAGTGCAGAGAGCTGCCCAGTGCCCTGTGGCATGCAGAATTAGAGTCTTCAGACTTCTGACCAGTGATCCTCTCTTCCAGGGACTCATGCCCAAGACCCTATGTTTATCATGCCCTCCTGAGAGCTGGACTGAGGAGGGGAAAGATGGAGGGGCAGGCTATATCTGGTGACTCTCACTTCCAGCTGTGGGATGTATAAAAACGTGGAACTCCAGACAATGCTGAGGAAAGACACATAGACATAGCCTATTTATGTATTTAAAACAGGACTTATTAGTATCAAATTGGCATTGGAACTTATAATATATTTTGTAAGAAATTGAGTCCACACACAGGACTTTATTTATATCACATCAAAATATAATGTAAACTGGAAGCTATGAGATTAATGTGTACCTGTGAAAATGTCTAGGGAAACTCTGGATAATGTACCCACATAGAGAGTGTGCATCTTTCCAGCAGCACATTGACCTGAAATGCAAGTTTTCAATATCATAGAAGCATTTTAGTGGAAACAATTATAGCAAATACTCTCTTGGCCTTGTACATTTTAGTTATTATTGGTCACTGTAAACGTATTTTAAATTGTAATGTAAATAAAGTTCTCTCAAATATGATATTCTATAGGAACTTAGATTTCTAAACATTGCTGATATTTTTAAAAATTAATTTATCTATTCACCAGCGCATAAAGAGGATCTTGATTGGACCTGTGGCTCATTAGATATAAAGAGTCTCAGGCAGAGCTCAGCTCCACTGCATCACTACATGCATGTCAGCAATGTCCCCATAGTCTGCACACACATTGAAGTGTGATCAACACAGCATTTAGATCAATTCTCGATTTGGGTCACACTGGAACCACTTACTGAGAGATGAAAACTACTGATGTCTGAATCCTTCTCAGAAGTATAAGTTCAGCAAGTTCTTGTGTGAGTCCTGAGCACTGGGGACTGTTAAACACGTTCTAGATCATTCTAATTCTCTAATCAGGGAACTTGCAATCCTTGTGCACCCAGAGGAATGACTTTAGTTGAATTTTTGTTTCAAAAAGCTCACACTGTGTATAAACCAGAAATATAGAATTTTGATGGAGAAGGTAGGTCAGAGGCTGAAGGGTTTACATTGACTTCCATGTAAAGAAAGGCAGATGAGTAAAAACTAAATATAAGACTTCAGATATCTGGATTCTTTGAACTCAAATCATGTAAAGTCATGGCTCCTTAATCTGTGTTCAGGTCCCCATAGACCTGAGGATGAGGAGTGATATGTGGTCAGGTTAAAGGACCTCAGACCTCGAGACCTGGGGGAGCAGTGGCATGGACCCCAGAGAGGGTAAATGTAAAGGAGAAAGGGATACATACATATACACACACAAATGTACACATAAATATTTGTACACAGACAGTGATTTTGTCCTTTTAAAGCAATTGCTCAGCCCCCTCCCCCACCTTACTGGAAACCACCTTCGGTGGTTGTCAGTGTGAAATGCCGTATTTCAAACTGGCAAGTTTGGCACTCAAGGTCTAGTTCCCATAAAAGAAAAAAAAAAAAAGAAGAAGAAGAAAAGAAGAAGAAGAAGAAGAAAAAGAATGGCCACGTGCTCAATGGTTGAGCATTGCCCTATAAACCAGGAGGTCACAGTTCCATTCCCGGTCAGGGCTCCAGCGCCAGCAGGGGGCGTGCAAGAGGCAGCAGGTCAATGATTCTCTCTCATCATGGATGCTTCTCTCCCTCTCCCTTCCTCTGTGAGATCAATAAAGACATTTTTTTTTAATAAAAAGAAAAAGGAAGAATAAGAAAGTTTACGCGGGGGGAACCTCAGGTGTTGAGGATCCACCCACAGCGGCCTGCCCTGATGGCACCTGTTGGCAGCGGGTTGGACCTTGCCCCGTCCTCCAGTTGACTGGGAAGAACCTCCACATTCGGTGTAAGTGGCACCACAGCTCCAACGTTTTTTGTTTGTTTGTTTAGTGGATATTCTTTTTTTAAATATATCTTATTGACGTTTTACAGAGAGGAAGAGAGAGAGATAGAGAGTTAGAAACATCGATGAGAGAGAATCATTGATCAGCTGCCTCTTGCACACCCCCTACTGGGGTTGTGCCCGCAACCACGGTACATGCCCTTGACCGGAATCGAACCCGGGACCTTTCAGTCCGCAGGCCGAGGTTCTATCCACTGGGCCACACCGGTTTCGGCAGCGCCAAGGTTCATACTGAAGCAGGGGAACCCCTGAAGGCCAAGCTGGGTGGGTCCAGTGATTTCCTTCCCATCTCCCCCGGAAGGAGACCAGAGACTCAGGTTCCGCGCCCGGAAATGCCCGGAGGCGGGGCGGGGCTGAGAGGCGCCAGGCCCCGCCCCCAAGCGCTGCAGGCGCCGCGTGACCTGGCAGGCCACACCCCTTCGGCTCGCCGTTTCCGGCCGACCCGGAAGCAGATCCCAGCTCCAGGCTCCCGTTGGCGGGAGCTAGTCGTGATAGTTCTAGGTCAGGGTCGCTGGTCACCACCCGGCGCCGCGTCCTCACGCCCGCGGCCCGGGGCCCGGGGACCCGGGGGCACCGCCCGCCCAGCCGCCGGGAGCCCGCGCAGCCGGCAGCCGGCAGCGGCGGGCGGGCCGCTCGCCTGCAGGTAAAGTCGCCCGCCCGCCTGGACCCCTCTCACCCTCTCCGCCACGCCCCCGCGCCCCGCCCCGGGGGTCTGCAGCCCGCAGGTCCCCTGAGTCCCCTCCCCATCCGGGCGCCTTCCGGGACCCGCCGCTTCCGGGCACTTCCGGTTTCCGGGCCCTCAAGCCCCGCCCCCGGCCCAGCTGTCAGTGGGCGTTGACCCTCCTGTCCCGCCGGGAGGCGCGCTTCCTGCGCAGGGACCTCCTGCCCCGTGGGAGCCCGCGGGCCGGGGGCGGCGAGGGAGGCCTGGGCGCCGGGAGGGCAGGCGGAAGGGAGGCCTGGGGAGGCGGGAGAGGGAGGGACCGCCGCCTGGGCAGCAGGCCGTGCTGCGGAGGCCCAGAGGCAGCGGGTCCGCAGGGAGGAGTTTGACCAACAGTGGCCACCACCGCCCGGGGCAAAAGGAAGGCAGATCCCAGTTTCCTTGGAGTTCTGTTGGCAATGAGCAGTTCATGTTCCCATTTCCATGTGCCTTGTCCGGTCCAGGTGAGGAGGTTCTGATTGGAAGACACTGTTTGGTGCTTAGCAGGGAATCGTTCCGTATTTCAATGTGAAAGAATGTTGGTGATTTATTTTTATATAAACAGTCAAAATCTAGCTTAACCCATTAGTTCAACGTTCAACATCTGTCTCCCCTTATGTAATCTCTTAAGTTAGCCGGCTGTGAACTAAAATGCCCAACGAAATCTGGGTCTTGTATCTGAAAATGAGTGAGGATGGGCTGGGTTGTCATGGAATTCTGGGGGAAGAGAGCTTGTCTGTTCATGGCTTCTACATTGCTCCGAGCTATTTTCATGTTTTCCGGTGAATGTCCTGCTAATTAAATCTGCTAACAGTCTTAGTTTGTTGTTGTTGTCGTTAATCCTAACCCAAGGATATGTTTCCATTGATTTTTAGAGAGAGTGGAAGGGAGAGGGAGAGACACAGAAACATTGATGTGAGAGAAACACATCCATTGGTTGCCACCTGCATGCGACCTGACCAGGGCCAGGGATCCAGCCTGCCACTGAGGTACCTGAATCAAACTCAGAACCTTTTAGTCCACAGGCTGATGCTCTATCCACTGAGCCAGATCAGCTAGGGCTAATGGCTTATGTGACATTCTGGAAAAGGAATTAAATACTTGACATTGTTGTGTTAAAGCCATGAATGATGGAGAGGTGATATGAAATATGAGCTGTAATTTTTATTTTTTTTATTTTTATATGTTTTTATTGATTTCAGATAAAGGAAAGGAGAGTGAAAGAGAAACATCAAAGAATCAATCAGCTGCCTCCTGCATGCCCCACACTGACAATCGAGCCTGAAACCCAGGCATGTACCCTGACCGGGATTGAACCATGACCCCCTGATTCATAGGTTGCCACTCAACCACTGAGTCACACCAGTGGGCGGAGGGCTGAGCTGTACTTTTTAAGGGCAGGGGGGAGAAGGGCAAACCCTGCCACTCTCCCATCCAGGTATGTCCTTCCTGTGAGGACAGTGCTGCTCCTTTCTACTGGCCTCTCCTGCTGACCTCCTTGCCTGCCCCACGGTCACAACTGAGGGTATGTCAAAAGCATCTTTTAACATTGATTAGACTAAATGACTAACTGAGGAGAGGGCAGACTCTGTGAAGGGAACTTGAAGAAGGAGTAAGAATGAGGATCAGGGAGTGGGAAGAAGGCAGAGATGCTCAGAAGCAGGAGAAATTTACTTGGTACATACTTGGCCTTACTAAAGTTTTTGCAGTATTTTGAAGTGGAAATAATCACATTTTTAGAGCAGTTCTTCAAGCAAGGATGTCTATTAAATACTTAGTGTCAACAGTTGTGGCAAGGTTTTTTAAGTCATAATATTTACTGAGTCTTAGAAACTTTATTAGATGTTATTAATATCCTCTTAATAGCATCCAATAGGAGCAAATGTGTTTAGGCCCAGCAGAAACTCTCACTAAACTGTGTTGTTGTTGTTTTTTCAAAAGTCTGTGTGATATATGTAAACATATAATCTAATGTGAGAGAAAACCTCCTCTTGCCTGGACTTTGTCTAGTTACTGTATGACTTTCAAAATGGCTCATTATTTCTTGACTGTACATATTGCTTATTACCAACAGGATGTTCTAGAATAAACCATCATTTGAATTTTCTGTGTAATCTACACTGGTGTTGTAGCAACTGTCATCCTTTCTCTTAAGAAAACATTAATTAAATTTTCATTTAGATGTGTTAATTGTTCCTAAATGCTGAAATACGCAAGAGTAAAAATTATCCTATATAATAAAAGGGTGGTATGCAAATTGTTCTCTTGACCAGGAGTTCTACCAGGGGGTGGGGCTGGCCAGGGGAAGGGAGGGAGTCCCTGGCTGGTGGCTGGGAGAAGGGAAGGAGGCCCTGGCAGCGGCATTGGCAGCAGCAGGTGACGGGCCCCAACCAGCAGCCTCTAGGGAACCTACCAATGCACAAATTTCATGCACTAGGCCTCTGTAGAAAATAAAAATATATCTGTAAACCATCTGCCATGCAGAGACAACTCTTACATTGGGTCATTTAAATGCTTTTTTGTGTGTGCCTTCCAGGGAATCTGGCCTCCAGGAAGGTGGCTGGACTCAAGGACCATGTTCTGCCCACCAGTCCCCCAAAGTGCCGTCTACTACAAACATTAAGGCTAAAGCCTTTCCTGGCTCTGACCATCTTGCTGCACAGTCTGCCTTGAGTTCCACTCTACCACCTTCAGGCATGTACTTCTGGCATCCTGCTTCTGAGCCTGGGCTGTTGATGGGCGCTGAGCTGTTGTGGGAGCCAGCATTGGCCCATCCTTGCCCTGTCCCATGTCCGCAGGTCTGTGGAGCAGCATGAGCAGTTCCGTGGTTCTGTAGTACACTTAGAAAATACTTCAAAGGCTCCAGAATGCTTGGACTCCCTCTCTAGCTTTCTATGCTTGTGCCCTCTATTCCTGGGCCATGGGGGGTTTTAATAATTTGTAGGCCGTCCATTACTAAAATTACTAAATAATTTTAAAATAATGTTCTTATATAAGGCAAAGGATTCCTTGAATATTAACTTTCAATAGCTTTTCACCCTACCTCTCTTATACTTTAGCCTTTTTCATAGCTACTGCATCTTTTTTTTCAAGCAATTTTCATTGAGTTTAGTTCTCCTTAAATCACATGAATTCATGGTGATTGTTTAAAGAGAAATATATGCCTGTAGCAGGCACTCTGCTACCACCTTATAAAAATATGAGATGAACCAAGTAGACTTCTAACAATTCTGTATTATCTGAGCACCCTTGACCTAGAGGACTAAGGCAGTACATGACCGTGCCACCATGACTCATGTATGTCCTCCTGCCACTTTCTGATGGCAGAGATTTTAAGGATTTGACTGATAGTATGGGTGCCATTGATCCCTCCAAATGGAATAAGTTGGTAAATTGATTGACTCTATCAAAAAACAGGCTCTTAGTTGCTTGAGTACTTGAGCCGGAGGAAATGAGGGTCAAGAGGAGTACATGGAGGTTAGATAATCCCAGCTAGTGCATAAGGCAGTGCTGACACCTGAGAAATTCCACAGTGCTTACCTGCAGGTGGAAACCAATGTCTACATATGGTGTGAGTCAGGGATTACTATAGTTGGAAACCAGGTAGGGAATTGAATAACTGAATGCCATGGCCAAATTAGTGTACAAAGCTCAGTACATTTGATATTCTTATGCATAAGGTTCCTGTATTTCTTAGTATTTTATTATCAACTCTACCCATAGTCTTCATTCTTGTGGCTATGGGAGGAGAAGAGCCTCTGCATTTCTTGTAGACTCACTGCCTGTTTGTTAGTTAGGCTGGGAGTGGAGAACACACCCAGCTGAACACTGGAGTTTCGTGACAGGAGGGTCTGGAAATTGTGCACAAGACTGGAGTCTCATGGCTTTTTTCTCTCTACCTAGCTTTGCATTTTTAGTCCTTAAGACTGTCTGTGAATGAAAACCCAGAGAAAGATACCTGGAAACTGAGTCACTGACCATGCAGCCGCTGGTAAGTAGGAATACCTCTTTCTACTGAAATCACTCTGCTGTTGACATCAGTGGGCAGGTTTTTCCTACTTCATCATTGTCCTAAGCAACCAGGAGGCATTCAGAGATCTGAGCTCCAGGAAAAATCCCCCAGGACGCCGAGATGGCTATAATGTGTTCCCTAGAACACCTCAAGGACTATTATTCTTAACATCACACTGATTTATTCCAGCAGATTGTACATGTACAGAAGGGATTAGAGAAGCTCTTTCTCTAATTCAGTCCATGGGACTGACTCACTGGGAAATATTGACTCCTTAATCATGCTATTGACTACAGTGTTGGGGGGGGGGGAGATAAATGAGGGGTAGAACAGTAGGGAGGCAGTGGTTTCATCAGGGAGGCCAGTCATTGAATGGTACAGTCCTGGGTGAGCATGAGGAATCATTCATTTATTTTTTCCATTTTTAATAGAAGGTTTTGTTAAATATATTTTCACTTTTGGAAAATTCTTAAGACAACTAAAATTCTCACAATCATTCTTGTCCCCAATCACACATTGTGCCGTTTTTGTAATTGACCTTTCTTTCATAGTTGGTAGCTGGAAATCATGTCTAAGCATTGTTATTCCTTAATGTCAGCTGTGCATGCAGGGCAGGGAGTAGAGCAGAGTCAAATGTAAGACCCTGGGAAATCGTTGGAAAGTTAGATACACCTCAGCAATCCAGGGGCTTTTTTTTATCCTTTAGCTGGAAACAAGATAAAGCTACAAAGGAAACAGTGACAGCTGCTGCTTAAGGCCCTAGGTAAAGTCAAGAATGGGAGGCCTCATCCTGCAGGACAGTTAGATTAGAACTGTCCTTCAGCACAGCCTGTCAGAGCCCTGGCCTGTGCTGCTGACCATCTCACCTATTGTTTGTTATGAACACCTGAGTCCTCTAGCAATGAGACAGACAGCACCTACTGGTACCAAGTTCTGTGTGAAACTTACTCATTTCTGAGGAATGCTGGAGATTGCTTCAAGGATCATGGACATTTTAGTGAGTTATAAACCAATGGCATGTATTTAATATGGGTTTACATAGAAAAAATGAGTTCATTGAATCTTTCAACACTCATAACACATTATTAAACCCTTTCATAGACAAGGAGTCTGAGGTTCATCTCGGGGAATGATGTAACTATAGTCATGGTTCAAAAGTGGCAAATCAGAATTATTGTTTACCTTAATTATAAGACTGAAATTTACTTGACATTAACCAGGAAGTGAGTTTTACTTTTAACTTTTTAAGGGTACTTTTTATAATCATGTGTCTGAAAGTAAAAATGATCAGTTCCAGAAAATTTCAAGATTGTGTTACACCATATTTCATTTGATGTTCCTTTTTAACAAAGGCTTATTAATTCAGACTATGAATATGTCTGTGATATATCTGAAAGGCAGATACCAGCTCAGCACTGAGAACCTCAACTTCAGTGTGATCTTGCTATATATCCAGCTCCTCAGCCCCCTTCCTTAGGTTGCCATCTCCACCCTCCTACTCTGGACATTGGCTGGGATTAGTCTGTCTAAACCAGAATGTCCATGATATTTTAGGAATCGGTGACATTTGAAGATGTAGCTGTTGTCTTCACCCAGGAAGAGTGGGCCCTGCTGGACATACCCCAGAGAAAGCTGTACAAAGATGTGATGCTAGAGAACATTAGACACCTGGTCTTTCTGGGTGAGTGTGTCAACTTTTATATATGTATGTAAGTATGTAAACAGGCATTCATTCATTCATTCAACAAGTATCAAGAATAGCTTCCACAGACTACTACTCTCTCTGCCATGATTCTTTCATAGACCTTAAAACTACGAAGTAAAAGTTGTCTTTTTTCTTTACTTACACCTAGTTTGTCACCCCACTAGAATGTAATCTTGATCCCAATTTAATGTCTTCCTTACTGCTCAATATCTAACACTCAGAACAGAACAGGAAGCTCAATGAATATTTCTGAATGCTTAAATAAATTGATTAAATTTTATCAACAATTATTTTGTTCTAATCACTATGCTGAACTTAAGACCAGAGTCTTAAGTTTGAAAATAATATTCAAACAACTTTGGAGACATTTAATTTCCCCATTTTTGAAAAGATGGAAGATTCTGCTTTCCATTGAATGTGAGCATGGACATCAGCACCCGGAGTCTTACTACTGTGGACATGTGACCTGGATTTCTTCCCTGTTTTCTTTGTTAAAAGTGGTGGTTCCTGGGGTGACCTTCAGTGATCTTATTTTTCATCAGTAGCCTCTTGTGGACTTGATGAGAATGCACTTTTATTAGCACACTAGTGCCTGGTGCACTGATTCGTGCGTGTTGAAAGGAATTAATTAGAAGGTGGCCAGCAGAACAGGACTGGGTGAGATGGGCTGGACATACCCTGGAGGCAATCTCCCATTGTCCCTCCCTGGCCAGCCACACCTGGGGCAGTGCCATGGGTCATAGGGTATCTACGGAGTGAGCAGGGTCCCTCCATCAGGTGGGGGTCTCTCAACCTGGCCTGTAGGGATCGGGCCAAAACTGGCCCTTAGATATCCCCCCAGGGGTCGCAGATTATCAGTTCTCAGATGACACACCATGGAATCAGGCTCCCTTCTCTCTGCTTCTGGGGTGCATGACTTGAGAATCACCACTGCCAAGTCACCACAGCTCGGCAGCTCCTGCATTGAGAGCTGTCCCCTGGTAGTCAGTGTGCATCATACTGGCTAGTTGGGTGGTCAGATAGTCACTTAGCCTTTTATGTATATAGATATCTCAAAATCCATGCACCTGTCTTTCACAAACATGATATTGGATCTGAAAATCAGATGTGGCTTTTCAGCTGGAGTGAGGAAAAGAGCAATGGAGTGAAGAGACTGGGTTTCTCCTAGGCCAGAATGCAGGTGAGCAGTGGGGGTCAGGGCTTCAGTGTGAGGAGCTGTCTGCTCAGTGACTGAGTAAGGTCCTTCAGAATATCAAGTGAAGGCTTTGGGAAGTTTGAGTGACATTTTTCAAAATACAGATGGACAATGAAGCAAAATTATTCAGATATTGTCATTGAAAGTTGTCCCTCTTTTGTTACCAAACATCTTTTATGTTTTTCATATTTTGATCCTAAAAATATTTATGAATTGTCAATGCATTTGGATATGTTTCTGCTTCTTTAGAGTATTCCCCATCACAATGCCAATTTTGAGACATACTCACATCTTCATTCTCCTAAAGCTGTTCTAATTTTTTAAAAATTATTTTAGGTGGGGAAAGTGCCATTCAAAATGAAGAAATAACATCCACACAATGTACCAGTGGAAAGGACACATTTACAGTCATGCAACTGGTAAGTTTCATGAGTGTTGACTGTAGTCATTCAAATTAAAACTTGGCAATTGGATGTTAGTTTAGTACTTGAGTAAAATACTGTGATTTATGTTAATTTGGGATAAAGCTTTTTCTGAGCAAATAAAGGGGTAGTTTGAGGTTAGAGAAGGAATTAACCTAAGTTCATAACTATAAGCTGAGATATTAATAAAAAGAACAACTGTATGAACATTGTTTGCATACCTAGTCTTTGAAACATGTTGAAGTTTTCAAAATTAACCAATAAGTTCTGTAGTTGAGATGCTACAAAAGAGAAAATCTGTGTGTAGAGTGGAGTAACATACCATCCATATGCAGGTATCATTGGGAAGGTTTTAATTGAATACCATAACTGCAAGATTAATTTAGTACTCATATGTAGAGAAGTGAATGTATGAACTTATGTGGCAAATCAATTAACAGCCTTTCATCTTTTCCCCCAAAGCAGAAATTTCACACTGAAGAGGATCCCTATGAATATAATGATTTGGGAGATTTTACCCATAGCTCCACAATGTCTCAGCATGTGTTAAGCAATATGGAAAAGAAACCCTGTATCAGCAAACAATGTCAAAAATCCTTTAGTGACCAGTCATGCATTAATCAACATAAGCAACTTTACACCAGAGTTAAATCATATGAGTGTCATCTATGTGGGAAAACCTTTAGTAATTGCTCTAGCCTTAGAAGACATGAGATGACTCACACTGGAGAGAAACCATACGAATGCCACATCTGTGGGAATGCCTTTATTCAGAGCTCTGACCTTAGAAAACATAGTCTCACTCATACTGGAGAGAAACCATATGAATGTCATATATGTAGGAAAGCCTTCAGTCAGTCGTCTAACCTCAGACAGCACCAAAGGACACACACTGGAGAACAACCGTATGAGTGTTGTCAGTGTGGGAAAGCCTTCAGTAAATGTTCTGCCCTGAGACGACATGAGAGAACTCACACTGGAGAGAAACCTTATGGATGTCATCTGTGTGGGAAAGCTTTCAGTCAGTGCTCTGCTCTTAGACGACATGAAAGGACCCACAATGGAGAGAAAATTATGAATGCCTTCAGTAAATATTCTGACCTGAGATAACATGGTGGTATAAGTAATGAATGTAGGAGAAAACTCAATTATAGTTTTAACATTGAAAAACAGCAAGGACTCACACATTAAGGAAACACTGTCTATAATCAACGTGGAAGACCCTGCAGTCATCCTTACGCATCTTCCATGTGCAAATGTAGATGGAAGATAATCCATTGTATGAAATATCTCTGGAAAGGCCTTCAGTCACTTGTCTAATCATAGGTGACATGTGAGAACTCACACTGGAAGTATAAAGAAAGAAGAAGTCTACAGCAAAAGCTCTCAGCTTCATACTAGAGAATTCATACAGGAAAAAGCCCTCAGTCTGCAGTCACTGTGGGAATGCTTTCATTTATAAATCATGGTAAATGTGAGAAAACCTCACCTGGGAGAATCCCTAGGTGTGTAATTGCTGTGAACAGATATTTAGCCAAGCTCAAGGCATGGTGTGCACAAGAAAATTCAGTGATGAAATAACCACTAGAACAGTATTTAGGCTAAAACCTCTTAAGGAATACCAGTAATTTTTCCTTGGCAAATGATTCAGTGAAAACTTTGGAGAAGTCCTTTATTCAGAGAGGATGCTATTGCTCATATGAGAATTTGGAGAATACAAAACACTTTCTGTCATGAAAGAAGGACAGTGGTCACTCATTTATAGTCAGCACTACAGTCCTCATGTTGAGGAAATAGCAGTTATAAACCCGGGGAAAGCTCCAGCTGGATTTCATACCTGAAAACTCAATCTAGGGAAAAATTAAACTCTCTAGGGTTAGCACATGATTCATAATTTTTAGGGGAAATACTTATTTCTGGGGGAAATATAGCATATAAATGCACGATAGAGTGACCTGAGAATATTAAATGCAGATTTTGTAAGAAATTAAACTTTTTCAACAGATAATTGCTGTTAAACAAAATGTTGCTGAAAAGGATCTATGTTGCTGAATTCCTAGTTTGTTTTTTTGTTTGTTGTTTTGGGGTTTTTTTTACGCAGTTGTAAATACAGATGTGAGAGTCCACACTCCTTGGCAAGTGGATTAGAGGTTCAGCCTATCTCTCAGAATTCCTTTCTCCCACAGCTGCTTTCATACAGCTCACCACAGTCTGTCTCCATCTGTGTCCTGGTGGTCACAGCAGGAACCTTTAACATGTCTCTCTGTACTGTGAGCTGGGCCCAGCAGGGCCATGGGAGCAGTGTCACAAGCATCTAATATAAATAGTAGAATGGGCTCCAGCTCTGCCCCTGCCCCTTCCAGGCCAAGAACTATTGGATTATTTCTATGATGTTTCTGACTCCAACTAATTGGGGCAGAAGTTCATCCCACATCTTATTTACATGAGTCCTGAGTTATGCACTTACTCATTCCCCAAACTGAGCCAGTGCTGTGTGTCCCACAGCAGCCCAGAAAGTAAACTCCAGCAAGATAGAATTAAGAATTATTTTGCCCCAGGGGTTGGAGTTTATTACCCTTCAACCAACCCCCGTACTGGACCCAAGCCTCAAGGAGAAATTTTATCAAGATATAACTTGGCTGATTTGTGCTCTTCTGAAACACACAATTCCAAATCATAACCGGAGACCAGAGAAAGGAGCACTTCTCTGCATGACATTAATATGTCATTCTTTTTTAGAAAGCTCCACAACTGACTGTACCACTGGAGTAGGGGACAAGTCATGCATGAGGAGATTAGCAATCAGAATTCAAAATCTCTGCCTTCTGGCTGGAAGAGGCATGGGTTGTAACCAACCAGGAACACGTGGAAGTGTAAACAAGGGTCAAAGAACAAATTTGTGGTGAGAAGTTCAGACCATGGAGACACACCCCAAGGGTTCTCATTTACACTGTCACAGCCCATGAGACCTTATAACAACCTTTCTGTGATCCTGTTTCCTCATTTCAAGGGTGGAAGTAGATTAGTGCCTTTATCTTATATGAGTACTAACGTGTTCATATTGTATATACCAAGTAATTACAACTGGTGGGCTCTTTGTGTTTGCAAATAAAAATATTTTACTAGGTGTACCCTTGAAACCTGCTCCACAATAAATTCAATTACAAATACATTTTTTTTTACCATTTATGTTGCTATGTGGGTACACCACTCATCTTTTACATTAAAATATTTTATAATAAATTTCTAAAATAAAGTTAGATATTACATAAATAATCAACTTAATATATAATTTATCTTTAAACTGTAATTGACTTCAAGTGTGATTCTGGATAAGAATTGGATTTGATACCTATCTTGTGGCCTTACCAGGAACCACACTTTTCTCAGGGGGTCCCCAGGAGGGAAGGGGCAGTTCCGGCTATCTGTGCTGATGCTGGGATCCCTAGGATTGATGTCTACACTGTCAGAGAAGCACATCCCAGTGGGATTTATCTCCACTAACCTATGCATATAAGTATGTTGAGAAGTCGCAGTGAGATAAGGGGGTTTGGGAGTAGATAAAAGACAATTACATGTCTGCAAGGTGACAGAATCACACAACCAGCTTAATTTGGGTGCCACGCTGACAATTTGCTGGTAAAGGGAAGTCCCTCACAGGATGATTCCCTCCAGAGGCAACAGTGCAGGGCCCCACTCAGAGGGAAGGGGGCTTTTTTGTTATCAATATAGTGTGGGAAACCCCTGGGGAGAGGGTGCTTCCTCTCTGCCATAGGTGGGGTGTCGTGGGGACAGAGAACTACAAAGGACTACAGCAGTTTGGCGACTGTGTCTTCCATATTTTTCCCCATCTAGGGCTTTCCAGTGGTGGCACATTTTAGCAGGATATGTGCAGCAGGCAGTCTCTAAATGGTTACCAGTACATATGCTAACTTGAGCTATATTTAGAATAATTCAGAGTAAAAGTTGAAGTTTGACACTAGTGAGCTTTTGAACTAATGGGCCTGGTCCTCTGTGAAGATGGCATGCTGGGCAAAATGAAAGAGATCATCCAGCCTTGCTTTACAAAAAGAATCCCATATTTGCCCTGGCCAGGTTTGCTCAGTGGATAGAGCATTGCCCTGTGGAATGAAGGGTCCCAGGTTGGATTCCTGTCAAGGGCATGTACCTTCGTTGCAGGCTCCTCCCCAGCCTGGACCCTGGTTTGGGTCCTTGAAGGAGGCAACCAATTAATGTGTTTCTCTCACATTGATGTTTCTCTGTCTTTCCCTCTATCATTCACGCTCCCTAAAAATCAATGGAAAAATATCCTCAGGTGATGATTAACAAAACAAAGCAAACAAACAAGAAAGAATCCTATATTGTGCTTGCTATGCTTGATTCTCCTTTGCTGTAAGGAATTGTTTAGACAACTGAGATAACTGTGCTGAGCCTTAGCTGAAAGTTCTTGCCTTTGTGATAATAAAATAACAGGCATAATTTTCTTTTTTTTTAAATAGAGAGGAAGGATAGGTAAGAAGATATAGAAACATCAATAATGACAGAAAATCATTGCTTGGCTGCCTCCTGCGTGTCCCCACAAGGATCGAGTCTGAAACCTGGGCATGCGCCCTGAACCATGACCTCCTGGTTCATTGATTAATGCTCAACCACTGAGCCATGCCAGCTGGGCAACAGGCATCATTTTCAAGTACCGAGTGACCGTGCTATCTATAAAGTTATGCCTCATTTAGGAGGTTATTTGTAGCACAGCTATTCATTTTAAACTATATTTTTATTTCTAACATTTCCCTTTATTCAATAGTAATAGAATTTTTTGAAGATTTGCATAATTTGGAGAAAGGAAGAATTAACCTAAAGAAGGTTAAAAATGAGAAGGATAGAAGTTTTCCAGTTTTAAGTTTTCAGTCATTTTTCCCATAAAATTTTAAAAATGTATTGTGAACATAAATGCAATAAAATTTTTAAAAATATACTTTTATTGATTTTTTTTTTACAGAGAGGAAGAGAGAGGGATAGAGAGTTAGAAACATCGATGAGAGAGAATCATTGATCAGCTGCCTCTTGCACACCCTCTTCTGAGGATGCGCCCGCAGCCAAGGTACATGCCCTTGACCGGAATTGAACCTGGGACCTGTCAGTCCGCAGGCCGACACTCTATCCACTGAGCAAAACCGGTTTTGGCAAAAATTTTTATTATTAATAGTGATCATTGCTTATAACATTAAAACCCTAGAGTATGCAAAAAATGCATTTACAGTTACCTCACTCTTTCTTTATATGTTCTTGGGCTCCTAGAAGTTGTTTAATGTTATGTTCTTTGGTTCCTAATTACACTTGCTTAATGCCTGCAAACAATCATGTGGTCACCAACTCCCCTTAACAGTAACATGCGTGATTGTTAATCAAGGAAGAAATTTTCATATAGAAAACTATGAAGACCTCACATTCATAGGAAAAGGGTATCTTGGTTAAGGAAATGATGCTGCAGACCAGAGACAGTTGAGAGAGTAGACATCTAAAGAAAAGTAGAAACTAGAGAATGAGGGGACCACAGGAGCTCACCCCCTGGAGGGTACCATAATCTCCAATTACTTGGAGGCTACAATTTAGTAGTTATCTTGCTGGATTTTATAGCTCCAATGGACCTACATTAGGAAGACACATGTAAAACTAAGCAAAAACAACAACAGAATAAAGAACATTCAGTTTGGGGGAGCACTTGATACCTTGCTCCCATGCAGATTTACTTAGTTTGACTCAGAAATGTCATAAAATTTTTCTTAAAAAGAAAATAGAGACCTTTTTAAAATGCTGAAAACTGAGTGTTCAAAGAAGGCAGGACAGGAATGAGTCCCGCCTCTCTACCCACTAGACTTCTTGAGGAACTGCTCAGGACTTGCCATTGTTGGCTTATCCTTTGCAGTCCATATCATGTCTCGAGATATTTTTCCTTGTTGTTGGTGTAATTTTATTTTCTATTTGATACTGAGAAAATTCCTATGTGTAATATGTATTCTCTCTCTTATAGGATCTACACAAGCCAAGACCTGATCATACCAAGATGAAATATGTGGGAGACCCTGATCTCACCACTTGTTCACCAAAAA